GACCATACGAAGCATATTGAGCTACATGTGCATTATTTTCGAGACTTTGTGTGTGATGGGACTCTTCAGTTACACTATCTCCGAGTTGATGATAAGATGGCGGATCTCTTCACCAAGTCCTTCACTAAAGCTCGTCATTGGTACTTGTCTAGCAAATTGATGTTTCGTCACTTGCATCATTTTGAGGGAGGCTGTTAAGCCATGTATGTCGATTTGTATGTAGTAGTATGTGTTTGTAGTGGATTGTAGCTGATGTGGGGGTTAAGCTCATTTCTTAGTGGGTTGGTTTCAGGCCATGCATCTCATGCATGAGGCTAAGTGGAACCGTTCTAGGGTTTGGGGTTTTATGAGTTGGGTGTGTGTAATTGGCTAGAGACTATGCAGACCTAGTGGATTTTCAGTCTTAGAGAGTTCTAGCTCTCCCGTGGATTCGTCCTAGCATTCCAAGGATATCATGTTAAAACGGTTTGTGTTCTTTAAATTTTTGTAAGTTAACAGAAGATGTTAAGGCCCAGCTGCTGGAAGTAAAAAAATGACGATTGGAGCTCAACCCCCTAATTCTCGTATCCAGGTAGATGAGGGAAAGCCATAATGGTGTGAAATTTAGTCCACCTAAAACTCTAAAATGACTCCTCGGACGCCTTTTTTTAAAAGGTTCCACATCAGCCCAGAATAGTGCGAATATGCCCTACTTGGAGGCTAAGGTGGATATAAGCTAGAGGGATTAGGCCGTAAGGGTTTCACTCCTACTATCTCTCTCATAAAGCCTTATAGAAGAGGCAATACATGTACCCTCTCGGCTAGCATTCGAGATAGAAGTCATGTATAGGGTTACTTTGTTGGTAAATCAACTAACCAGTCCATAAACGATGAGAAAACTCTAGGGAAGAACGACGACAGAAATGGTGACATAGGCACCATTTTCCTATTATGGCTGTCCTTTTCGTATTTTGTTTGAGTCCTTCTTATTATGTTTATTGTAGTTTGATGTCTACAATTGGACAGATGTGAGAGGAATGAAGCTCTTATGTACTTTTGCATCAAATGCAATACACGTTTTGAAAGCAACCTTTATACATAATAGACATATGCAAATTGTACTGTTGGCTGACCCACGTGTCTCTCTAGCACGGAACCCACGAACAGGTCTTCATAGGGAGGATGGCAGGACATCGAAGCATAGTGGATGTAAGATCCATTTTGGACTCATTCAATCACATATGTTACAATTATCAAATCGAAGCGAGTTTACAGAAACTCTAGGAGAAACTTGCCTATGTAATGCATTTCCTTTATGTTTTCCCTCGTCTAATAATTTAATTTAGCGTTACTTTTCCTTTTGATTTTCAACATAAACTAAGAGGAACCTTAACCCCTGAGGCACCTTACTCTCTACAATTCGTTTTAAAACCCAAAAGTAGATCCCTTATTGACTAACTAAAGAGTTGTGAAAGGCCTGGAGAAAATACGATCATGATTACCAACAAGATAAATTTGACTCCTATTATACAACAAATCACCTTCCATATCGAAAAGTGCTCCTCTAGGAAGGACTAAGAGAGTGGGTCTCATGTTGAAAAGGTACAAAAAAGGAGACATTTGTCGTTCAGTAGTTGAGTTGTTTCATATGTGAGTGAAAAAAATGATTAGATGTAATCTTTGGTTGTGTGATACTAGGGAGATTACAGACCTTAGAGAGAAAGAAATCAGTTGTGAAAGGCATGTGATTATGTCCCCCATGGTTCAGAGATATCGAATTTTCATGGATAACCGTGGATATTCAAAATCTGATTGGGTACAAGTATGATTTTGATATTATGATTGTTGCATGGGTATGGGTAATGGTAAAATTCAAACTATTTTGGTTAGGCTAATAGATATACACTATGTGCTTCAGAACCGATCTGTTGTCATCCCTAGTTGGGTGTAATAGACTCGCCTCCTGACCTAGGAAGGTCAACTTGGCCACTTCCATCAAGACCCAATCGTTAATCGGTCCCTATGAACAATGTCTAGTGGATCGTGTCTTGACCGCATTTCATATGATAGGTCGATAAATGATTCCTACCCGACCTTTTCAATTAGTACATGAGCGGGTCCAACTAGGGATGACAAACAGATGGGCTGGGGGCGGGTATGAGATACCTGCACCAAGCACGAGTCAGGTAAGTAATATTCACACGGGTACAGACATATCGACCCATTCTTACATGTTATTTGAAGAAACTAAACCAAAAAATTAATTCTTTTATGATAAAACAAAGCAACAACACTTTATGAATGAAAATAATGGGGTTAATTGCATGGTTGGTCACTGAGATTATAAAAAACGTTCACGTTTGGTCACTGGAAATATTTAAATCCAATCTTGGTCACTCAAATTATTTAAATGGTTCAAGTTTGGTCACTCTCCGTCCATTTCCGTTAACTCTACCTTACGTGGCAGTCAACTTTCATAGTTGACCGTTAAATATGTGACATGGCAATTAAAAAATTATTAAAAATAAAAAAATAATCTTTTACATTTCCACCTCATTATTACATTAATTAAAAAACAAAAAATATATATATTTTGTCCACTGATAGAACGAAGAAAAAATATATATTTGTCCACAACGCCGACTTCACCATCTGCACGTTCCGCAGTGGCAGCACGACGATGATAACGTCACGCCCACTGCAAATCCCGGCCCATCTCCGCGGTGATTTCGCCGGAGCATCCGTCGTCGGCAGGGACGAGATCGGCGGCTGGTGGCTGATGAGCAATTCGGCCGGCGAGATCTTCTGCTGCTTCAATCCCCTGCTCGAGCTGCCCAACGTCATCGAGCTGCCTAGAAATAAGAAGAAGAAGAGGCTGAGGCCGACAAGAGCGGCGTTCTCCGCCCCTCCGACGGATCCCGATTGGATGGTCCTGGTGGTCCACGGCGGCGAGGGTTGTCACACCAGTTTCAGCACGCTCCTCCGCCGCGAGGGTTGGTGGACGAATTACGAGATCGAGTTTGTGAAAGGGAGGATCTGCGCGGGGATTGGGTGCAGGGGTGGGAAATTTTGGTGCTTGTTCGATACAGGGGAAGTTTTGATCTTCGAAATTGACGGCTGCGACGATGGATTGTGGAGGAGGAGGACGGTGATTATGATGGGAGCGGCGCGGCCGCTGACGGCGGAGCGATTCCGTGGGATCAATTACCTGTGTACGGCGGTGAAATTGGATGGAGGTTGCGCCGGCGTCGTTGGAGGAAGGGGTCGGCTTTAGGTCACACAATTCGCTAGGAAGGGGTCGCCGCTCCCAAACTAATTCACGAACTTAATTTACAGAGACAGAGTAGGAAAGAAATAGGAGATGGTGTCCATAAATCCAATGCAGGAGACGGAATCCTTGAATGGATTGATGGAGGTAGTCGGAAAGAAAGGGATTTTGTTGATTGGGGAGGTTTTGAACTTTGCTGGGAAGAATATTTAGTTTGCAATTAACAATATCGCAGTCTGATTCCCTCAATTTGAATGCATGTTGAGTTTCAGGGGATTCGTTGGAGCTTCTCTGTAATGAGGAAGAAGATGGTGTGTTGGATGATAGGATATGGATTGATCGAGGAAGTGTGCAAAATCCAAATTTGCTCCTTTTTGTGGTTGGAGTGTCCGGTGATTCTTCGTCACCAGCAAGACCCGATAGACGGCGGCGTTGCCGTGACTTGCCCCGGACCTTGCACTGAGCAGGGGACTCGAGCAGAGAAGCAGTGAAGGGGGATTTACAAGTGTTTGGTAGATGGAAACGTGGGTTTCATATTGAAAGAATTTGCAGTTCACAATCGTAATAGAGAAGAAGAGGCTAAAACTCGAACTGGATCTGGGAATATTTGGAAGGCTAAACCTTTCACATGCAGCTTCAAAGCTTCCTCCAACCCAGAGAGAAAGGGGGATTTATTTCTGGTAATAGATGAAAGAGAGGAGCGGCGAAGAAGAAAGGAAGGGGGAAGATGGGGCTGACGTGTGTGGTGGTGATTTAGGTTTAGGATTTTTTTAATACTAATATATTTTTTTGTTTTTTAATTAATGTAATAATGAGGTGGAAAATGTAAAAATTTATTTTTTTATTTTTAATAATTTTTTAATTGCCACGTCACATATTTAACGGTCAACTATGAAAGTTGACTGCCACGTAAGCTAGAGTTAACGGAAATGGACGGAGAGTGACCAAACTTGAACCATTTAAATAATTTGAGTGACCAAGATTGGATTTAAATATTTTCAGTGACCAAACGTGAACGTTTTTTGTAATCTCAGTGACCAACCATGCAATTAACCCGAAAATAATGATATTAGAATGAAAAATTGAGTATGAATAATTAAAAGATCAAGTTCTACACTTATTTAAAGTTTTATTATGTGAATATTATTGAAAAAAATCAAAATAGGAGAACTAAAAAATGCTATCAAAGAAAAACGAGATAGTACAGGTCAAGAATGGGGCGGGGTGGGCAAGTCGAAAGTATTAACGTAGGCCCCATCCCACGTCCACGCTATAGCGGATCAGATAATACCCGACGTGGCGAGTTCAAATTGTGTCCACCTGGTTGTTTTGAGGGATGATAATTTCAACCTGGCCATACCTGTTTAGGGACAGAGCGAGCAGACATTGGTACTCTCCTTGATCTGATCTACCCTCACTAGCCCCATTATCAACCAATTTTTGCCTACACTAAATGTAAATTTTCTCAAATAATTAAGAATTTCAATTTTATTACCTCCTATCTTAACTATAATGAAGTTGTGAATATGTGAGAATCTCAAATTAGTAAATAATTTAACTATATTTATCTTTTTGGGTTTTTAATAACAACAATAATAATTTTCTTTTAAATTACAGCGCCTTAACAGCGGCCCAGTGTAGACACAGAAAAATGAACTGGGCCCGAGTAGAAAATGGGCCACTCATCGGCCGAGAAAGCACACTCCCGACTCCCGATACTGATTTTTATTTTTTTATTTATAATAATCACAGTCCTGATCGACGCAGCAAAACGAACTGCGGAACACACCGCGGGAGGCCAAGGACGAGATTAATCGAGGAAGAAAACAAAATGAGGATTGGAGGAGGAATGGTGTATGGAGCTCCACGCGCCACTTCTCTGCTCCTTGGCTACGGCCTCAGCCGCCGGCCGACGCTACGCTGCTTCTCCGCCGCCGCTTCTCCTTCTCCTACTCCATCGCTTCTATTTCCCGGTGGGGGGATCTTGGTTGCCTGTCGAATCAATCATCTTGCAGTTCTTCTTTCAGTTGGATTCTGTCTCCGTCTAATTTTTTCGTTTCGGAACTTTCCTTGCAGACCATACGGAATTCATCAGAGATGTAGCAGCGATTCAGCCTCCCAAGCATTTGCCCCACTTAATGAGAATGCTCCGCACCAGAGGTAAAAACTTCCTGTACTTTTCAGCAGTGTCCTGTTTAACGGGAAGTATGCCATTTGTGGCTTCACTCTTGAGAAATCCCATATGAGTAATTGAGCTACTTTTTTTTGTCACTGGTAAAGGGTGAGTTGTGAATTTCCCATCCCCTGGGCTTCTGGGTTTTGGGAGTTTCCATTTGAAAATTGCATGTTGTAGAGCTGAGTTTTTTGTCTCCAAATTAATCAGGGGATATTCATGAACTAGAACTGTTGTACACTCTATGTTTCCATTAAGTTGTTGACAATGAATTAGATTCCATTTTCATGTTGCAAAAACAGGAGATTCTATTGTTTCACCTGGAGACAAGCAAGGGTTAATCCCGCTAGCTATTCCACTTGCGAAAACTAGCTCAGGTATGGTTGAGTTTTGTTGTCCCAGCGAAGTTGAAGGTTGCTAGTGTTGACAAAGAAAGTTAAAAACTGAAGCTTCTGACTGGGAGTTTGATTTAATGTTAAGGATAGATGATTTAATTGCATTGCTGAGATGGCCAACTGCGCCGCCTGGGTAAGAGATTGCGAAAACCCCTATGCCCTTGATGTTGCTTGGATCACTGTAATTTTTCCTGTGATCATGTTAATAATCTGCATATGGTACTTGCAGGATGGAAATGCCGGTAGTAGAGGTTCGAAAATATGGAGTTTGGCTTCTGGCAAAGACGGTATGTAGCTTTCGGATAAAAAACAGTCTATGGGATTCATGGTTCTATCCTTCTCAATACTGAAAGTTTATGCACTTCCTTCAACAGGTTGATCAGTTCATCCACAGAATCTTGGTAGAGGAGGATGCCAATTTGCTTTACAAAGGCAATGATGAGATATTTGATGCTGCAGCGGATGCAGGGGAGAATATATATACCAAGGGTGACTTTGCTAAATCTCAGATTTCCGATCTAGATGTTTATCTGTTAAAGAAGGTACCCCCTTTCATGTACTATAAATGTGTACATAAGCAGAGAAATAATCTAAACTGCTGCTAAAATCGGCGGTCGCTTCAACAGGTTGGCTTGTTTCCTGATGTCCTGGAGCGCAAAGTGATGCGCCATTTCGAGAAAGGGGACCAGGTAAGATACTTCAGTATATTTTTATCTGCCTCTCAAAAATATGTTAAATGTACTGACGTTGTTTGCTTCTGTAAGGTTTCTGCTTTGGTTACTGGGGAATACTATACAAGGAAAGAGCACTTTCCTGGATTCGCAAGGCCCTTTGTATTCAATTCCAAGATATTGCTCAAGTTTGTGACAAAATTTCCTCTGCTTGCTTCTCCTCCAAACTTTATTGTGGATGGTTTTTGTTAGCTGCATAGTGTTCAAGGCTTCTCTATCCGATGGATCTATTCCTTTTTCTGCTTTTAGGGTTGGGCGTACGCTAGAAGCTAAAGATGCAGCCAGGGGGGCTTTGAAGTCACCATGGTGGACTCTTGGTTGCCCTTATAAGGTATTGTATCCCTTTTAGATGGTTCATCGTGCCTTCTTTCATTGTTCCAGTTGTTGAAAATGCCAACTTTCTTTCTTTCTCCTCCAGGAAGTCGCTGAGATAGCAGAATGGGAAGATGAGCAGATTGAGTACATGCAAGAAAGAGTAACAGAAGATGGAAGGCAACAAGACCTTAACAAGGGGAAAGATCCTGCTCAGGTCATTTAGAAACCAAAGCTGTTGCCTATATTGTACAACTGACTGAAGAAGCTTTTGACATTATGTTTTCTTTTTCTTGTTCTTCCATCATCTTCTGGATTCACAGATTGTCCTGGACGAGGCAGCGTTCTTACTGGACTTGGCTTCCATTGATGGTAGTTGGGACGATTACTTGGACCGGATTGTCGGCTGTTATAAGGAGGCTGGTCTTCTTGATGTTGCCAGATTCTTGGAGTACAGAGACTGAGGGTCGAGTGTCAAAAGAGAAATTTTCTTCTCTCTTCATGTTAAGATTACACACTGCGAACTCTTTTTCGTTTTCGATAATACACAATGCAGAGTTCAATTACAACTGGATATGTTCCCTTCTGCAAGGTCTTTGGAAACTACTTTCCGGGCAGCTTTTCCTTATTTTCTCACATTCAGACGCGCCAATACAAGAAAAGGACCCAACAAGCTGGGCTTCAATGTTCGTATATCTACAGAAGCAATGCACAAAGCTCAGGTGAAACAAGCCAAAGAAGAAAATAAAGGCAACTCCATCTCTCCAAGGGGTAGAGAAATCACTTGGGGAATGCAATGGGTGGTTTCTGCCCAGCGGCAGATTTTTTCTTCTTCCTTAGCAACTTCCTCCACAGCCCTCCGATTCCATGTTTCCGGCTAGGCACAATGGCCAGGCTGTTAACTGTGACACCATCATCGTCGTTATGGTGCTTGCTTTTGTTTAAATTGAGGATCTTTTCTAAGGGTTCGGCTGCTGCATTAGCTGTGGCTTTAACACTGTCCTCTGCTAGCATCCGGTCTAAGAGTGACGACCTCTGATTCGTCAACGTTGCCCTGGGTGTGGCACCAGTGGCAGTGTCGGGGGTTGTATTTACTTCGTCTGGCTTAGAGACGACCTTGTCGATTATAGCAGCGTCGTTTGGTGAAGCTAATGCCTTCAGCTGCTTCCCCAGATTCAGGATGGTCTCTTGGCACTCTGCCAAATTTTCTGAAGCTGCTGCTATCTCCCAATTCTGCATGATCGATCAGTGAAGAGGAAAATTAAATCAGTGAAGAGGATCAAAGTTTCTCAAATTAGTTACACTTTCTGACTTCTATAACCAATGTGCCTCTTAGATGGATTTATCTGCAGAGCAAAAAATATCTCAACTTGGATTACGGAATGAGCTTACAGTTCGAAGCTGATCTTCAGGATGGACTTCAGTTTTAGGGGTCGTGTTCTCTGTCACACTAAGAAGGGAAAACACAAAAACATGTGAGATCTATTAGAAATAGATGCACTTACTAATAAGCTCCACCGATGAGAATGAAACCCAGAAAAATATATCTTCGAGTGATATTCAGGACTGCACCTTTCAAGTTGGAGTTGCAAGTCAACACAAGTGGCCTCCAAATCCTCGCAGCAGCTATTTCTGTTATCCAGTTCCACTTCCAAGGAAGAAAGCTTTCGGCGAGCCTCACTTAGTTCTGCCTTGGCCATCACTAGTTGAGTATCAAGATCTTCTTTCACCACCCTATGAGCCTCAATTTGATTCTCAATAGATCCCCTCGATCCTCCCACATTATCCAGCTCCGATTGCAAGCTTGCACTGGTTTTCTCTGATTCCTGAACTTGAAGCGTCAAAGATTCACTCTTCTCAGTCGCTGACTTCAGTCTTTCTTCCAAGGCCTCCTTGGCAGATATCATATCAGCCAAGCCTGAGTTGAACTTCTTGCCTTCATCCTTCTCATTGCTGATAATGCCAACCTCTCCGTGATCACCTTCGCTTTTCGAATCCCAATCAAGATGCTTTTTTATTGCTTCCTTCATGCTCGACACATCTTGAAGTGAGAAGCAATGGTTTATAATCCAGTCGAGAGCAGACGTTAATTCCTGAGCAAACTTGCTCACATTACATTTGTTGCTCAACAGATCATAGCATACATGAATAAATTGCTGCAATACAGCACTCAGCTCAGAGGTTTTCCACTGGAAAACACGGACCGTGTAACCCATTGTCATATCTGTAGACTTATAAGGAAAAGAACTAGAATCCTTGCTTGACACGGACTCGGAGTTATTGGTGCAGCCTGGATTCTGTCTAGCAATACCTTCTACCAGCTCTAATATCTTTGACACAGATTTTCCAAGATCAGAATGAGGGACATCAATGTCATTTGCTGCACCATTAAAGTCAGTGGTATCAGTTTTATCTTTGGATTTCCATAAGAGATATCCACTAATGGGAGTGGAAGAGTTCACTGGAGTACCATCAGCATCTTTAGTGGGACTTATAGTCTCTACATTTGCCAAAGCTACTCTTATCTCCTCCAGAATTTCATCAGGCTTTCTCTTTGTGACTCGGTTTTGCTCCCGCACCAGTTTAAGAATTTCCTGAAGCCAATCAGGAGCTTTCGCACTTGTAGTATCACTGGATTGCCTTAAACCAGAATCCAATACTGGAACAATCTCCATTCCAGTTACCCTTTCGATAAGATCGGGTTTGAAGGGGCTAATCACTGCACTGCTATTGCTAGAAGAAAGTTGAGGACTTCCAGACTGCTGCTTATCCACTGAGACGATTGCAAGTCTTTCCATTTCAGCAAAATCATCCATCAGATCCATGTCCGGAGCACCAATACTTTTTCTGGACAATGAGCCCTTCTTTTTACCATGTTTGGAGTGTTCCGGTTCTGAAGTCAAGGCACAAGGCCAAGATTCAGCAGAGCTAACCTTATCATCACTACCAGCTTCAGACACCGAGCTTAGTGAGATATCATGGGGCACAAGGCCCAGCTTTGAGAGCTCCAACGATGTTCGCCACTTGGGCGATTCATAAATGCGCGAGTCAACCGGTGGTGATAATCTGGAAGCTGCACGAGCAAACATAGCTCTAGAAGATTGCAGCTCGCTCTCCTTTTTACCGAGTGCTTCGACGAGAGCCTTGTTCTGTTCTTCCACAGCACTCAACTGCTCAGTCAAATTGTTAATGGCTTTGGTGGCAGACCTTTCATCAGCATAATCATCCATTATCAAACCAGAACCAGTAACTGACCTTCTCCTCCTCGATTCAACTGAATCCCTCCCCAGGATTTCCGCCTCGCTCCTCATTTTCGCCATGGAAGCCGGGCCCGGCAGTCTCTTCCGGACAAGGAGGCGCAGCCTCTGGCACTCCGCTTCCAACTTTGCAATCTTCTTCACGCTCTCCAGATGTTGCTTGTGCGACGCATCCGCCGTCCTTCTGCTGAATTCCCTCTCCTCATTCCGAATCTCCAGCTCCTTCTCCAAAACCCTAACCTCATACTTGAGAGAACCGTTGTCCTTCTCCGTGAACTCCAAGCTGACGCTTAGATCTTTCAAGTCGGATTCCAGCTGAGCCTTCTGCTTATTCAGCTCTTCGATCGTCTTCTCCTTCGCCAATAGAGCTTTGCTTAGCTGAGTATTCTCGACCCCGAGCTTAGCTAGCCTTTTACCCGTCTCGGCCAGTTTTTCTTCGAGGATCATTCGAGACTCGTCAAACTCCATGGATGCTTTGGTCACCGCATCGTGAATCCTCCTCTCCTGCTCCTCTCTCACAAAGCGGAGCTGTTGCATACATTCCTTTAGAGCGGCATCCAACTGCGCTGATCTCTCCTCTCCAGCTGCTCTCTCCTGTAAAGCCTCGTCCAGTTCTTGCTTCAGAGACTTTCCTCTTGCTTCTGCCCTCTCCCGGCCTTGCACAATACACAAAAACAGTAGAGAGATTAGAGAAGCTCCGTGAACTGTACTAAAACAGGGGAAGAGAGAGAGAGAGAGAGAGAGAGAAATCACCTTCCATGGCTTCGTTTGCTGTTTTGGCATGATCTGTGGCAAGACTATGTTTAGCATTGGAGTCCAAGAGAGCGGAATCGAGCTTCTCGTTCAAAATTCTGATGTTGTACTCCAACTCCTCCTTTTCCGTCAAAAGGTTCTGTACCTGAAAGCGGAAGAGAAATTAACGAACCGAACGAAAAAAAACCACCATTAATGGCCGAAGAAAGCTTGTATCATCATCCAATTTCCCCAAAAAATCTTCAGAAAACAGACATTTCGGCACTCTGCAGCCACGATCATGCATCTGTCATCGGCAAGGAAATAGAAAGCAGAAAAGGGGGAACGGAAACGGAAACCGGAAGTTTAGTGTTTCACCTCATCGTCGTCCGGTCTGAGAGGGAGGCCCGACTTTTCAGCAGCAGCAGCGCTCGGTTTCTCGCCGGATTTCTTCCGCCACAACCAGCCTTTGCTTTGACTCTCCATGGCCCCGCAAGTTGTGCTTCTCACGCACGCCGCATCTGCCGCAATAGAAACAAACAAACAAAAAAGCAAAGCAGTAAGAACGCAAGAAAATGACACAGCAAGAACGAACGAACAAACAAACAGGGGAAGGGAAAAAGCAAGCTCCGGTGGCGAGGCGGGATTCGGTTCCGGCCGGGGAACTCCGGTGAAGCGAATCAGGTAATGCATGAAGTTGCGTTGATCACCTGAGAGAGCGAGGAGGTAGAGCGGCGTAACATGCGGAATGGAAGGGAGCTGGGGGGAGTGAGAGAGGGAAGAGACGAATGCGGAATGGTGCCGGTAGAGTCCTGCCGACAAATTAAAGGCGCGGGAACCAGGGGAAGTGAGAGAGAGAGAGAGAGAAGGGACGATTAAAAACACAGCTAAGAGAGTGATGGAGTGAGTGTCAGTGGCTGGAGAGTAAACGGGGAAAGGAAGAAAAAAAAAAAAGAAATGGAAACTGTGGAGAAAGGGGAAAGGGTGGAGGTGGAAGGGAAGGCGGATTTTGTGTGGGGGAAGGAGGAGGACTACGGAGGCGGGCAGTGAATACAATAGTGATGAAGCAAGCTGAGTACTATTGACAGAAAGAGGAGATGTGGGGCCGGTCGGGTGAATTTTTTTTTTTTTTAGTTTTCCAACTGTGGTTGATTGTCAAACGCGACACGCGAGCGGTAATCTGGCTTTCTTTTCCTTTTTTTTTTTATGAAGAAGTCAGGGATTCCAGCAGTAAGACAGCAGCAGTCCGAGTCAACCAGCCATATTTCAGTTCGAATGGGGGCCTTAACCGCCGGTTTTACTCACGTGAGTGATTCGGGTCGATTTTATTCTATTAGGAGGTAAATAAGCCACGTGTCCGTTACTAATTGGATAAAGAGAGTGGATAGGGTGCTAACACTTCCATTACGACACCATTAAGACCACATCACAGTGCTCGGAGGTGATGAAGATGCCACGTAAATGTGCGGTTTGGAATCTTGAAGGAGTTGGTGCTAGACCTTGTCGCGCAAGCCAATGAAGGAACTGAGGATGACCAAGTGAGGGCAACATCTTTCCAAGTGATAGGCGTAAAGGGCGAGGGAGCAAGCACGGGGGGTGCTAGTGGAAATCGTTCGAGACTAGGAGACAATGCAGGTGAAGTAATGGCAAATGGCCCATGTTGCCATGTTGGGGTTCGTTGGCCGTCGTTGGGGGTTTCAGGCAGAGCAGGAGGAAAAATGTTGCCCGTTGGTGAGCTGAGGAGGTCTAAATCCAAAAGGGCTGTCTGAGCCTGGTTTGATCATGGGCGGACTGGCCTTTTGCGCAAATGATGGAGACTGTGCAAGGAGGTGGTTTGGGGCCGAGTAGCGGGCCACTATAGGCCCCGACCGTTAGACCATTCAACTCCAGTTGGTCAGGCTTGGGAGGAGGGGCTGCCAGACTATTGGGTCGGGTGGAAGGGGTTGGGATCCTAAATTGGATTGCAAGGAGCAAGAAGTGGGCGGACATGATCCAATTTAGAAACCGTATCGTACCGGGCGATCAGAATATCAAGTACCAAATCCCAAATTAATAAGTTGTTTTAGCGGTATAAATGAGTGAATTATGGTTTAACTATATTTTTAATACAAAAAATGCCCTACCACTAAAATGTCTTGTGTAACTTCTTATGCACACAAATCACAATACTGAACTGGCTCGAGAGATATTTGCTTTAACAGCTTTAACTCTTGGCTTTTGCTTTAAAATAGAAAGGTATGGGCCACTCACACAACTTTGCATTTGGTAATCTTTCTTTAACTTGCTTTGGCATAATAATATGGCTTTACTTTAAGTTAGTTCATGAATCATCATGATAATGAAGATTATAAATATGTGGGTTGTGGGTTTGGTTGATAGTTAAGTGGCCCCTTCCCCTTCCACCTTTTCTACAATATTTTGTGGTTAAATTGCTGCCTTTTGTATCGATGGATTAGCAATTGCAAATTTGCAATGTTGCTGTGCGGTTGTTGAGTGCCACTACCATAAACGCTCGAATAAATCCCGCTAATAATGTGCTTCTTTTTATAAAATATGGGTAAAGCATATGGTTGTTTAAGGTCCCAGCCATTGGCACAAACAAAAATATTCAGTATTGAAAAGTGATAGTCATCAAGGTAATATATAAAAAATAAGATTAAAAAATGTCACAAATTATTCAGTATTGATTTTTAAAATGACAACCCTCTTGTAAATATTAGTGAATTAGAGAGTTCTCAATATTCATTTTTCCCCAAATGGCAATATTAGACCAAACCCCCATAAAAATTTAACATTATTAGCATTTTCATCACAATTTACCTGGTTCATTGTTACTTCATACTCAAATCTTACGTAGAACAATTTTGAAAATGTGGTATTGAGATAAATTGATTGTCTATGTGTTCATAACTCTTAAGCATTCTATTTACATTCCACATAAACTATTAGATGTGCAACTTCATTATTTGTTCTTCTTCTCTAAACCTGTCCATTCCAGATCACATTTATGTGTTATTATGAAATTCACATGATTAGATCGATTTAAGTCCTTAGTATATGAAGTAAAAAATGAATCATATTGGGTTTCACTTTTACCAATCCATATATTTTATCGCCATGCCAAAAGGAAGACTGATTCAACGAAGAAAAAAAAAGAGGAAGACTGAACATTTGCTCCAATGGCCCTTTGTTATAAATTTTTTTTGGCCCATTAGTTAGTCTATTTAGTATAGTATAATATCACAAGATCAATTCACTTAAACAAACTCACTAAGCATTTTTTAATAATCAAAACAATTATTCAAATTAATCAGACCATAATTGATAAAAGCAACTGGTTGATGTACCATGTGGTACACGAGAAATCACTTTTGTATGAGTACGTTATTGATGTCCTGTATTTTTTTTTCAAAAATATAAAAATGGGTATCATTTTCATGATATCGTTAAATGATTTTTTATATACCAAAAAAATTAAAATTCAAGTTCAAATAAAGAAGATATGAGTCATTTAAAATAATTGAGGGAGTAAAAAATCACATTAATTATGATCTACAAAATGATAAACATTTCGCTATATTTTGAGCAAAAATAACCCTTCAAAACACGTGATTATTGTAATATTATCATTTTCATGTCATTATTATATAACAGTGATATGATGGCATATCTCTTTTGTTTTAAATTAAATTTTAAAAAATTACATAGAAAGAATTTATTAATTATGGTCTACAAAATGATATTCATTTTTCTATATTTTGAGTAAAACATTTACTTCTAAAATAAGTCCATGTTGTTATCTTATCTTATCACTATCATATCATGATCTTACTTATCGTAAATATTAAATGATATGATAATATGACAATGATATGATAACAACCAAAAATTTAGCTCAGAGATAAAATTTATATTGTTTTATCATTGTCATACCAACATCATACCACTATGTTAAGACTTCATAATATCATCTTATCACTGTTATAATATGATCTTACCACTATGGTAAGACTGACATCACCCTCGTACCACTATGTTAAGACTTAAAATGATGTAAAAAATAATTTGCTAAAAAATATCAAAATGGATATAATCTTGTAGAGCACAAAAACTCTGAATTTTCTACACAAATTTTTTGAAATCTGATGTAAAATGATTGAGATATGATCCATTGAAGATGACAAGAGTTTAGTATAGTGTTATTACCACTAGTCTTCAATATGAGGTCTCACGTTCATATCACTTAAGATAACATATGATAATAAAATAAACAATCTATGTCATCCTTATATATAAATAAAAAAGAGATATGGTCCATTGAAGTTTTTCAGGAAATAGAAAAATATTTTAACAACACGTCTAGAAATTTGAGTCAGCCCCTAAAAATTCGTTAATTGTCCCCCAAAATCCATTATTTCCCTCCCTTTCTCTTTATGATATGAAATATTAGATCTCTCCTTCTCTAATTACAACCGTTAGATATAGTTTTGTAGATATAGTTTTGAGAGCACAAATAGGCACACGAGACTGATATCCTCAAAAACCTGATCACCAGTGTTTTCTTCCACGAAAAGTCGAGCATTTCCTTGAATTTTCAGATACCTTAAGTTTTAGTTCACCAGTAAGAGACCCAGTTTCCAGATCATGTTCAAGTGCAAACTTATAATTTAGGGAGGGAAATTTGTTGGATTCGATAGGGATGTGATATGACGAGAGAACGGTTGAGAAAGAAGATCCTGAGGTAACCTGTATGTGGAAAGACCATCACTAGGGATGACAATGAGACGGGTTTACCTAAACCATCCTCATCATCGCTTTCAAATATTCAAACTCGTACCCGCCTCATACCTATGTGGGGGAAGGTTTTGCAAACCCATCCACTTTCCCATGGGTTTCGGGTATTGTCACGACCTTACTCTTGGTTGTGCAGTCCTAGCTCTCAAATCCGTTGGAGATGATAGGAAACCTTCTCTCAAACTCACAAGCAAGCAAAGAAAGACAAAGGAATGAGAGAACTCTCTAAGTGTATTGCTCTAAAAAAATATGGGATGAGTACAAATGAGGGAGATGACTCATTATATATGACTCTCCACATACAATGCATCAATGCCCCTCATAATGGTCTTCTCCCCATTACTACACCCATTAAGTCCTCCCATAATGCACTCCCTTAATACCACCCATAATGTGGCCCATAAGTGCACACTAAAACTCATAAAGGTTGGGAGAATCGTAGAGGCACATCTATGCTTCTAGTCTTCCATACACGCCACATGTGTAGCCGCCATGTTGTCACCTTTTGGCGCCATGTCCTTTGCCACATGTGATATTCTCCCCCACCTAGTCTCGCGACGCCCTTGTCGTGGCTCTTCATCAGACGCCCTCCTTGCATTAGCGTCATTGCTTGCAAGGTCTTTTTGCGCCTTCCTCCAAGTCAAGGATGGCCCTGGCATGCTCTCGAGCCTTGTGCTCCCATGATGTTGCGTACTCTTCCGCGGTCTTCTCCTTCGCGTCTTCGAGTGTAGCGCCTTCTCGATCATAGTGGCCTTTCTTTGCTCCTCTTGGCAAGTCGAGGATGGCTCATCCTCGTCTCTCGTGGCTCCACGATGTCGTGCATTCCTCCTCCTCGTCCTTCTCCAACGAGTCTTTGAGTGATCCGCTTTCTCCACCATCGTTACCACTTCTTGCCTTGCCAAACACCCCTTGTTTGACTTGGGTTGCTCTCTCATCATGGGAACCGATCTTGCTCTGCCTTCTATGCAGAATCTATTGGCGTAGGGAATCAGGAAAGGTTTCTCCCGCACCATGAACTCCATGCCGATGATGACCTGATAGTCATCTAATGACACCACCTCAAAGTCTGCCACCCCGGTCCATCCTCCAAGTTTGAGTGGCACCTGGCGCGCTACTCCATGAGTTCTTGTGGCTCTTGAGTTGGTAGCCTTCAGCCACCCATGTCGCTTCTTCTCGTATGTGATGCCTAGGCTTTGTGCTTCATCCACGTAGAGAAGGTTGCAGCTTGCCCTAGTGTCAACCAAAGTTTTTGTCTTTCTTTGGTTGAGCTTCGCCTCTACGAAGCATTGGTCGTGTTGCTCGGGGTGAGGAGGCCCTTCCATCCGCTTGATGGCGTTCAATCTCTTCATGCAGCCATTCTTAGCAACATC